ACCCACCGACACGCTCGTGACGACGGCCCTGTGCGCCTCGCCTGCTGCACGCATGAGGAGGGGCCGCGACGAACGGCGCGCTGAGGGAGCCGTGACGTGTGGGCGTGCGACGAGGGCCTGTGGGGCGGAGCACACATTTCTTTCCCTCTTGTTTTGTTTTTGCGGCCAGGGCTGGCAGACACCCGCAGCGCCACACACACAGCCACGCCCTGCCGCTTCTTTAAGGATTTTTCTTTGCGTGTTTATTTCACGCGCTGGCACACCCCTCGGGGTTGGCCTAGTGAGCATTTCTCTCCCCCTGATGATTTTTTTCTTTTGCTGCGCTCACTCTCCCGATGGAGTGACGCGACTGCCGTCATGTCTGCGTGCTTCTCTCATCTTTCCCACACAAACATACGAGTGACTGTGCTCTGCGGGCCGCACTCGCACGCCGATGAGAGGGCTGCGGGGAGCAGCAGCACGCAGATGGCCCCATGAAATATAAACGATGTGCGGACACACAGAGGGTCGGACGGTTGAAAGAGATGTATCTTTCTGAATCTACCTTGTGGTCAAAATAATCAGGCAGTTTGGTGGGACCACACGCTAACCAGGTGGATTTTTGTGTTTTTTTCATTTCATTTTCATCTTTTCTTGTGTGGAACAGTAATAGAGGACGACATTTTTTTTTCTTTTTTGTGCGGGGGTTAAAATGTGAGGGACGGGAAATTTTTTTTTTTTTTTTTAAATGAATGTTGTTTGATTTTCCACTGCTTTCCGCCGTGGACGCCTGCTGTGCATTTGTGTTTGCGCGTCCCTTCAGATGCTTTACGCCTCTTCTCTTTTTTGTTTTTCCTTTTTTTCCTACTTTGTTGAGCGTGGCAGTGGGCGCACACAGCCACACGCGTAGGACACACACATTGCAGTGCAGGTGGATGCTTCCTTTGTACTCGGTGCTGGCAGCTGCGTGCAGCTGCCGCTTCCTTCAGTGGGCATGAGGGGAAAGGAGGGGAGAGAGAGCGCGCATTGCGAGTCTCTTTTTCTGTTGGCGTGATGCACCGCGTGTGACCGCGTGGGGTGAGGGCCGCAAACCATTGAGGACGGGATGGCGGTGTAAATTCTGGGAGCCGCGTCGTGGATGGGTGAGGATCCGCCTCCGCGTGTGGCTGGCGGGGTGAGGCCCCTGGCGATGCTTTTCTCCGCCTGTCGTCTGTTCCCTCCGTGTGTGTTTGTGCTGCCTTTTGCTTTTTTCCCCTCTCACCCTTTCCTGCTGTGTTTCTGCGTGGAGTGGCCGCATGCTCACGGGCCATGTTGATTGTGAGTGCCTCTTGACGGCATCCATTCAACTCTCTCTCTCCGCCTCTCTGTCATTTCCTGTTGGGTGTGTGGCGTGTTGCACCGCGTGAGGGCTGGCCCGCACACACCGACGGCCCGCCGTGACGCCCGCGATGACCGGTGCGGAGTGGCGGTGCTCGCTGTCTCATCTCTTTACTTGGCTTGTTTTCCCTTTTCCCTCTACCTCTTGAACACACACGCTAGGAAAGCAAGCACTAATCGCTACTGTGAAAATCGAAGGCTTTGAAAGGACCAACAGCACACACACCGCCCACACACACATATTTATATGCTCTCACGTGTTGCTGCAGTGAAGGCACCCCGCACACACAACCGTCGCCGCGTGACCGGCTCCAGCGGAAGGAGGAGGGAAGGAAGAGAGAGTGAGCCGCCGAGGCCCAGCATGTCCCGGCATGTGTTTGCTTCTGCTGCGCTGCTCCTCGTCGTGATGGTGTGCTGCGGTACCTGTGGAGCTGCGGCTGCTGGAGGGAATAATGGGAAGGGTGATTTAAGGAATTTTCTGAAGCTGCAGAGGGTTGATTTATTTTTGCCGAATAAGACGCAGGTGCTGCCGAAAGGTGGAGGTACTCCAGGGACGAAGCGGGACTCATTTGTTTCACCATCTCTTGTCAGTGCTGGTGGAGTAATTGCTGCTTTTGCCGAAGGCCACACAAACGCCAAAGTTCGCACGAACGCCCAAAAAGACGGTGCCAAATTAATTACGCCCTCTTACTCTGATGTTGTTGCGGGGTACATTGACTCTGCGTGGAACTGGACCACTCTTGTTGGCAAGGTCAATCAAAGCTCATGGAGGGCACACACCGTGCCTACTGGAGCGGATGGACAGAAACTTTTGGGTGGTGTGCACCACCCCACAACAACCACGAAGGGCAACAAGGTGTTTCTT